GCTGCGAGCTTTGGTTCCGAAATACACCTTTAACACACTGATAAATGGTCGTTTCGAACTACTGAGACGACAATTCTTCTTAGGATTTTGTGCTGATGCCCACTTAACGATGCGAAGCATTTGTGATCGTCGGAGCTGTTCCACGCAACAAGACATCAAAGTTTGGAAAAGTTAACAAGCCAAATCTGGACGGATCGCCCTCCTAGCAATGTTCCACTTAAATGCGTAGCCTCAAAGAACACCAATCAACCACTGCATCAAAAACCCATGGGATAATTGGTGCATGAAACAGCAGCGCGCGAACCAACGCGAGGTACAGCTAAGGTGCTCATAAAGGCACCGTACTCAATGGAATGACAAAAGTGGGCCTGATGTAGATAATGTAAACGTGTACGAATGAGATCCAATCACCTTCAGAGATGTGTTCGAACGGGAGGAATTTTAGAGAGCTGCAAATTAGCCTACATGAATAAAAAAAGTAGGTGCACGTTGATTGCTTAGCAGAGTGAAATAAACAAAACAACATATGGTGCGTGGTTTATATCGTAGTGGGGTCATATGTACACAGCTCAGTTACGTCTTCGGGTCAAACCAATTGGGACCCCCCCCCCCACGAGCCCAATAGAAAGCAGAACTCATCGCACATATTGGTATGCGCCGGCGGAACCCGATGGACAAATGTGCAACGGACACAGGAAGTGCCGCGTAGCTGGTAAAAGTGATAAGGGGCCAGCGTAGAAACAGCAGAAGTTTCATGCGGCAACTTCCCAGTCGAACGAACACGCCTGCAAACGCAGTGTGCCCATGCTGAATCATCCACAGGATGACCCGAGAGGGATCAAAACAACAATGCACCCACCGTTAACTCTCAATCGATTGGCGTAAACGCGCCTGTGTGAATTCGATTGCCCCGTGAATGGCAAGTTACATCTACGCTTCGGGATGACGTGATACACGTTGTCGCATGCACCTTGGACACACTGGGTACTGATGTGTGTTGTGTCTCTGAAACTAGGAGCAATAACTCGAATGGGGTTGTTGCATTAACTGCACCCGGCTTATCCTCTCGTTATTGGTTGCACACATCCGGAGACGCCGATGTAGCACTCACGGGTCAAGCTGGTGTAGGTATCATTCTAAGCACCAAGGCTGAGTCATTGTTGGTTGATTGGATTCCGGTGAAGATCGTTTACATGCACCCCGTTTGACAACATCAGCTAAGGTGGATTCATGAATCAATACAAAACGCTGTTTGTTTGTGATTTCCGTTTATGCTCCCACCGACTGCAGTTCTAATGCAGTCAGGGACACATTCTATCACGAACTGAACGCGCTACTACGCAGTGCTACTAGTTCAGGTAGTATAGTACTTGCAGGGGATTTGAACACACAAATACGGCTTCTGAGCTCGTCAAAAGCTCAGCGTGGTGGTAATTATGGGCATAACTCCGAGCGGACTGACAACGGCGAGCGTCTGCTGCAACTGTGTGCGGAGCACCAGTTGTTTCTTAGTAGCACTGCTTTTAGACACAGTGAACGCCGAAGTGCTACTTGGCGTCTCCCTGTAGCTGGCTAGCGATGGACCCAAATTGACCACATTGCCATAAGTTATAGGTGGTGTGGTTCCATACTGGATTGCCGCTCGCTCCGGGAAACCTGCGTCGACTCTGGTCATGCCTTAGTACCCTGTCCTTTCTTCATGAACTTTACCGGGAGGAGAATCAAGTGTCTCCTCCGATTGGCAACTGGGAAATTGTCTCAGTCCTCGGCCAAATAAGGTTATCAAGAGGTACTATATAGGGAACTTTCGCTGTCTTGTCCACATGACACTGAGCTTCACGGGAATAGGATTACAACCGCCATGCATGAAGCAGGAGTATTTATTTGTAGCACTATCAATCGTCACCGCACCAGTCACTGGATATCCGAGAGGTCGGTGAACCTGTTGGAATCCAGAAGAAACCTCCCGACTGGCTGAGCACAATGTGACCAGACAAGCTATTAGGCGCGAACTAATGCGGAGCCTAGATGCTGACAAGAAAGCCCGGTTACCAGTAGGGCTTAAGTAATGGAGGAGGCAAGAGCAGTACACAATTACCGCAAGCTCATCCAGTTGATCCGCACCACTGGTCCCAGAAAACCAGGCGTCAGTGAGACAATCAGAGACAGCGCGGGTGCACTGATATACAATAAGGAGCGCCGCATGGCTCGTTGGGCGGAACACTTACAATAGCAGTTCAGTTGGCACCCAACTCCTGGACCTCTTCCTAATCAGGTGATGCAGGACGAGCCATGGACGGTTAGTTTAGAGCCTCCGTCGGAGGCCGAGGTCCGAAACGCGCTCACAGCCCTCAATCGTTTTCGTGCCGCTGGCAGAGATTCCCTCCCACCTGCACTATTTAAGGATGGAGGTGAGGTCCTCTGCAAAACACTGACCTCCCTATTCGAACGTATCTGGAAGGAAGAGTGTCCCGGCTAACTGGAGTGAATCAATTATAGTGGCAATATACAAGAAGGGCAGTCGCACAGACTGTTCTAACCACAGGGGTATTAGCCTAACGCCAGTTATGACAAAACTACTGGCCTCGATTCTCTTTCGTCGCCTCGCTGCGGAACGGGAATCTCGAATTAGGGAAGAGCAGGCAGGTTTCCGCCCAGGGCGTGGCTGTATAGACCATATATTCACTCTGAGGCAGGTGCTAGAGCAGCGCCACGCATACCGCAGACCGACAATAGCTGTGTTCCTCGATAACACGGGTGCTTGCAATTCAGTCGATCCATCGATTCCGTTCGAAAAACTTGAGCGGAAAGGTGTTCCCATGAAATATGTGAACATCCTACGTGCTCTATACTCGAACACGTCAGGGTCTACGGTGAACTGTCGGATAGCTTTCCGACCACAAGTGGCGTTCGTCAGGGTTGTCCGATTACCCCAATTTTGTTCAATTTCGTTGTGGATTCTATCATGGAGTGTTCCCTTGCGGAATCTCACGATGTAGGCGTTGAGGTCCTGCCTGGTGAAAGGGTGATTGATCTTGATAATGCGGACGATATCGTCTTGCTTTTCGACGATCTTGCGGTGGCACAATCAACCCTGAATAGCCAGTCTAGTGTGTTCGCATTATTTGGTATGCAGTTCGCACCTTCAAAGTGCAAAGTGATGCTGCAGGACCACCAGCCACTTGATGACCGTTGAGCCTTGCTAACGAGGAACTCAGAGTGATTAGTCAACTCACTTACCATGGCAGCTGCATCAGCAATGATGGGCGCATAAAAACTGACGTCAGCTCACGCATTGCAAAGGCCTGAACTGCCTTAGTGAACCTGCGGCATCTTTGGCTACAGAAGGGAGTTTCCCCTCGTCTGAAAGGCCGTGTATACAAGTCCACAGTGAGAGCCGTCCTACTCCTTGTTAGTGAAACTTGGCCCTATCGGTCTGATGATATGAGGCGCCTTCAAGTCTTTGATCATCATTGTCTGCGAAGCATTGCTGGTGTCGGATCGCACCAGCGTGTCCGCAACGATGATGTGCGTAGGCCAGTACTAGGTAGTGATAAGCATGCTAGTTTCCTAGAACAACAGATAACACTGAATAAGCTGTATTGGCTTAGGCACGTGCTACGTATGCCTGGGCACTGCTTACCTAGGAGAGCCTTGCTTAGTCTGCCAGGTGTAGAGTGGCGCAAGGCTCGACGTGGACAGAAGTTGAGTTGGCAGCCTGAAATGAAGTCAATGACGACCAAACTGGATGGCGTTGGTTCTTCTCGCCTTCATGGCTGGAGTCCACATGACTCGATTTGTGCTTGGTTCGAGACTTTACAGGATATGGCTTGCAACCGCGCTGTGTGATAGAGAAGACAAACAAGGGCCCTAAATGGTCAGGCCACATTCGAAATCTGGGATCGTATTGACAGCGTCAGAACAGCCTTCGAACAGCTGAGAAACACGTTGTGCCGAAGGACGGAAATTAGTCTGAGAAGGAAAATCCGAGTATTCTCAACAACCATTCGTGCTATTTTACTCCATGGTTGCGAAACATGGGCGCTGCAATCCGAATACACACGGAAACAAGAAGTTTTCGACCAGTGGGGTCTAAGGCATATCTTGAAAACGCAGTGACATGAATGACGAAGTTCGTAAGCGCTGTTACGGTCTTCCAAAGCTCTCAATGGTCATCCAGCACCGCAGAGTTCAGTGCTTCGGTCACGTCCTCCGGAGACCAGAAAATGACTTCACTAGAGCTGTGCTTTCGCCTTTGCCTTGCCAGGGTTGTCGTCGCCGTGGTGGTGGACAAGTGAAAACCTGGTTTGCTTCAGTGAAATCGGATGTAGATCATCTGGGACTCCGGGTTGTGTTTGGTGCTCGCCACTGGAAAAATCACTGGATCAATATCTGCGTGCGGCTTGCTGCCGAGCGCCGCTCTCGGGCAGCTGCAATCCGCGACATTCATGAAGCCGGCGCATCCTGTGGCAGGAGCTAGCCGTAGTAAAGCAAAATAAGTAATCTTCAATGAAAGGATCGTTAACAATGTATATGTCCAATCGTACGATGAGTGCCGATGTGATGAAATTAGGGGTAAGAGGAGCAATCGCCCATTCATATGAGAATGGGCATCTTGACACTCGGTAACAAAACATAAGACAATCTAGTGAATAAGATGTGTCCAGTTGATTTGGAAAATTCCAGAATGATCGGGATGACTATGTGTAACGCAAGTAAAGCCATTCAGGAACACGCAAGCACCGGTCAGGGAATACAGCCATTTATTTCTTTCGTTATAAACCCTAAAATTTGGCGACCATTATGTCGCGATTCAGAGACGGGGGGAGGCGATGAAGGTGAGTTCCCGTAAAGATAATGCACACTAACTTTGTGAAAGTAATTCCATAAAATGGACCAGAGAACCTAGGATGTTGTAGCAACAAGAGGCTGAAATAGTATCAGATCGCAGGTATTGAAGAGGAAATAAAAGCACTGTGCAGACAAAGTGTACCAATTACCTCTTCCTTCGCCACTTCTGTCCAGCAAAGACAATCCACCCTCCAGACCGATCAACAGATTTACGCCCCATAATGCAGCACAGAGAATCTCGGAGCTAAAACGCTTTTTGTACACTTGTATCTCTGGAGCCTCGTCTCCAGCCGCGTTCACACCAGGATTGACCGGGGTCACCTGATGAGCGGGAATGTTGACATTACTCAGAATGATCGCGCTGGAAGGAATACTCGCCGGAATCACAGAAACAGAGTGTTGACTTAGCCGGATATCGACCTAAAACAGAAAGATTAGACGATGAATCGTATTGCATGAGAGAAAGGTGACGTATGTGTCGCATATGAACGGAAGTAGGGACAGACCTGTGCTCTAGATTGATGGGGGTTCGCGTCTGAAGGCGTGGCGGGACTCAGTCGGGTAGGATCGTGTAACACGGAACCCGGCAATCCCCAAGGAACTGCAGATGCTGCAGACTGATCTGTTCTGTTCGGATACGTCACTTGGAGACCGTTCTTCATGCCAGAATTGGACAAGTTGCGAGGGATGACACCATGCCATCTTGGTGATCCATTCAGAGCTGAAGACCGAGAGTAACACAAAGTGAACGAGATCACAAGTATAACAAAGCACGTAATAGCCAAAGACAGAGGTGTAGAAAAGAAATGGTTAAATATATTCCTTTAGCTAAAAGAAAAGTAAAGCAAAACAAGGGCCAGAGTCAAGGGCGCTTCATGAATAGTGTTCCAATGGGAATCGGCTGATAGTCAAATTCGTCTAGGGATACGGGGAAGCGATCGGAATGAGAGCAAACGGAATAACGAAAGAAATGGCCGATTTAGACAAACGAACAGCACACACGTGTGTGAAACCTGAGCACTTACCATTGGTTGAGCTAACGACACCAGTCCTATTCCGATCGAGGGCGGCATCAGAGACTTCTGGTTGGGACCGAAGCCTAGCAACCGCTTCGCCAGTTGGGTTTACGGAAGTGTGAGCAGGGCTGAAGAATGCATTATTCTTGGATGCGGGGATGGGAACATCTGGTTTAGGTGAGTGTTCCGCTTGCTGAAACGATAAAGCGGAAAGAGATCAAATGGAATATATAGATGATCCGGAGGAACAACAACTAAGAATACTCTAAGTCACAGATGAAAAGGAATTGTGTTAAAAAGATGGAAGACCAAGAGGCAGCAGTGGCTAGTTTGCGACTCGATTGATGTTATCTTGATCGGAGTGGAGTGGAGCGGCGACAGGAATCTAGTGGGGCAAAGTTGGGAACGCGCCGTCTCGGCAGCATGGGTGACAGATGCTTGAATAGCTTAAGAGCTTGGGAGCACGCCACACAAACGCAAGAAGCATGGGGATCGGTTGACGAAGGTCCAAAAGAAAATGGTGTACATTACGCTTGCCTCTAAAACGGACAAAAATGACATGAGAGCCTGTTATCGCTCACTTCAATCAAGAAATAATTGCTTTTGAGTAGTAGGGATTTGGGTGTAATTTAGATTAAGTTCATCGCAGCCCGCTCTCGGTCGCACAGGCACGCACACGTCTGGAAAACTCCAGACAGCCGTTCAGACCTTCTGTGTACATACACATACAGTCACTATACCGAAAGTCGTAGCTGTGGGACCAAGCACTGCCCTCTGCACAGTATGTCACCGACATGGCAGTGGAGGATGAGTCGTGCTATATCCTAGTCAAATATCTGTTATGCAGATCCGCCACCGTCGCCTATGACTTAGTGGCACACGCTGCTGGCATCGGAAGCCATGGGGTCGGAATCTGGCAGGGGTCAGAAGAACGCATAAACAATGACTTGACTCAGAGGGTCGAAACGGCCGTATGGGGATTTTCCAGACGTGTGGGAGCCTGCCTGACTGTGAGAGGACTGCGACGAACTGCATCCAAAAAAGAATTGATTCAAGTGATATAGCGAGTGTGACTGCCTAATGTAACGCTACCACTCGCCTCATATGTTGTAACCCATTGCTTGCTTTTTGACCAATAATGACGGGGAGTAGCCGGTTAGGCAATTCGACTATCCTAGTTAATAGCGTTACGTGCGTAACTGCCAAACGTCGTCCACGTAGTACAAGTCGTAGTTGCTCTCATCAATTAGTCCCATCTTTTCGTGAGAATAAAATTCATGTTGGTCTTAGGAGCCGTGTATGTAGAAAGTACGGAGGCCGTTCTCAACCGCGTGACATCTGTCGTCAGTAGATCTCAAGCGCTCTCAGTTCGCTGATCATCGCTGCCTACAAAGCGCTGCTCGGAGTGTCCGAAACAGTAGGGTACGAAAATGAATGCCTGTTTGTGGGAATCAGATGAGAATATAAGGTTACCGAAAAAGACTGTGCTATGTATGCCCACTGACCACCTGCCAGGAAGGGCCCTGTTTGTGTCACCGGATTTAGTATGATGCGAAATACGAGGGAAACGAGGCTAGTAGTCTTGGCCGTAGAAATCATGAAGGTTTTGACAATAAACCAAGTGCTCTTGGTCTAGCTCGCTTTCTGGACTGGGGGTACATGACTTGTAACTGGCAACAAGGACAGGCACACTGCCGTCACCCCATGGAACTGTTTGTGCATGACACTGAACAATCCTGGGGTAAAGTTGATTAACATAAGTCATAGTGAATGTGGTAAAGAAGCTGTTACCCAGTCAATGCAGCTTTAACTCCACAGAATAGTCCGTTGGCTTGTGATCTCACGAAGTTGGCAACCAGTTGCGGTGTTCATCCCGAATATGTGATTGGAATAGTAAGAGAAAAACATTTTACCCTTCCTTCCGTCTTACTATTTGCCATGAGTAGAGCCAACAACATCGAATGGTAACGAGGCACTAGAGCAAGATATTAGTGTTCCATCGCTGATGATGATGATCGAGTGGCCGCGTATGGCTGAGAATAAGTGATGTGAGCCAGATTGGTGTGATAGGTAGTGACGAAACGATTTGGCCATTCATGCAATCATGATGAAGTTGGAAAAATAAACTCAAAATTGGTTATATGAACACATCTATGGTGCCGTGTACGTGTTTCACGCCCCCGGAAGCAGATGAACGCGAAGAGGATGACACAAGACATACCGACTCGTGAGGGGAGAGCTTAAATGGAGGACCATTAGGAGTTCAGCACAACACATGCATCAGCAAACACAGTCAATCATCAAGTTGACTCCCTTTGTAGAGAAGTTGGCTGTAGAAATGTGTTGTGTTGCCATAGTGGATTCGACCAGCGGAACAGACCACACAAGGGACCGGAAACACCGTCCGACTTGTGGTAAATCAAGAGTCTTATGAGGGTCCCAACTCGATGGATGATCCCAATTGCGAGAAATTGCTCCCTTAGTTTCCAAATGTTCCAATTTCTGTTCGCGAGATAACAACCCATTTTGTTTCTCTGTTACAAGCGACCCGACAAGGTACAGTTTGAGTCAATACATTTTTGTGACCGGAGAGTAACCGATAAGCCGGAGTCCGCACTGTGGTTGGTGAAATATGTTGTTGCCCAAAGGACTTCGGTAGCTGGCGGTGGTGGATATGAGGATAAGAGAGCGACACGGAATCTAGCTGGAAGGGCTGCAACTCGTTGGGGGAATTTCGGAAGAGCTTAGAAAATAAGATTACTCCCATTATCATTTCTATCCCCTTTCCTACACAGTATGCTTAACATCTGAGCATGCCCACAGATATCGAGTTGTGTTTGACCGGGCGGTCCGGCTCCTAAGGGTACAACGCGGTCAAGCGGCTCTGGTCACGAACCTCACCCTCATCCACTGCGCTAATGTGGTCCACATGTATGGGGCCGCCGATCATGTATGACATACCATTCTACTTTGATCTATATTGTCGGCTATTTTGTTAGTGCCGTGTGACTTGACGTCTGGGAAATACACTGTCCGGTGTGGTGGTGTTTAATGTGATGGCTCTACGCTCCATCACCTGCGATTACCACATAATGCTGTTCACACAGATCCCCCTACTGGATGTGGTCAAAGCGATTTGATCAGGCTGCTGCAGTCGCTCAAATTGTGATACCATTTTGCGAGTCAAGTTGTGTGCGGAGGGTTCATAGACGAGAACAGCTCCAGATACGTCAAAATGCGTAGGAATTCTACCCAATTTTGGGCATGAGAATAGTGTAACTCAGTAGCAAAGGCGTGAGCTGACCAACGAATTTGAGTATCACTATGGACTATTTCAAACTGAACAAGCTACACGAGACCGAAGCCAGTGGTAGAGTTTGGAGTGATCAACAATGTGGACGACGGAATCAACTTAACCCTCAATAAGCGATATCCCTCTGGTATGGCGGTGAAGCGATCATCAAGGGGGCTGAAGAACATCAGAGAAAACCTGGGAAAAGAGACACAAGGTCGGAGATCCTCGAAGCTACTGCGATGGGGACGAGACAAACAGAGTGGATTCAATGAAGAAAAAGACGGTACGATAGAGAACATAACTAGTTCACGAAGATTCCCATACAGAGGAAATGGAATGCGGTTGTTGGAGAATGAAGAGAGAAGGACAACCGCCTACCTCTGAAGTCGGAGGTAATGCTGTGCTCCATTTCGAAGCGGCCGAGGCGCCGGAGGCTTCCGCGATGCATGCCAAACTGCTTAAGGTCTCTTTGGTGAATTCATCGGACAGCCTACACAAAAAGGAATGACGTTAGAAGAGAAAACCGAGAGCAGTATATTGGATTGCAACAAAGCACACGCGCGAGTTAGTGGGAAAAACGATGCCTATTAACCACATGTGCGGGTCAGCAGAAGCGAAGAGAACTGAATTGGATGAACCGAAAGGAACGCAGGTGATGGCAGGTGGAAGTATGTTAAGCTGTCACTCCATTCGTTTATACGTGCTGGACAGCATGAGGAGGCGATAATTATCGGAAATTTGCATTGTGGCGCGCTGATCAAGTCACGTGGTCATTAACAGTAACAGATAACAAGGTGGGTGGTGAAAATCGTCAATGACAAATACCTGTTTCGTAAAACGTCAGCGTCCTGACCAGGAACACCTTGCTGTCGTACGATGGAGCCGAACGCAAAAACAACAGTTTATGATATAGAAATCAGGGGAATGATGAGAGAAGTTAAAACCAAAGTAAATCATCCACAGAGAGGATAAATACACTATAAAAGCTATGAACAACCGGGATTCACCCGTAGAAGTGGTGGCATCTATGACAAAGTATGGTACGAGATGTGACAGTAGGAGATTGATTTCAGACCGTAGACAAACGCGGCTCCAACGATAAGATCTGGAAGCTCAAGGAGAAAAGCAGAGACGAGGACAATGAGGGAATCGACGAGGATCGAGTGGGTTGCGTGACTTCAGATCGAAAAACAAAAAGAAGTACCTGGCTGTTTCTTATGTCACCTCAGCAACCAGCAAAATTCAGGGAAGATTCGTGGCCGATTTCCTCCATCATGACGCAAGCGCTGCGAAGGTACAACAGGGTAGTCCAGTTGTCTGATTCGATAAGCTAACCGGCATACATCCTCAGTCAAACGAAGGATGGTTGCTCCTGCGTAAACAAACACTAAGGAAGCGTAACCTCTAGGAAGCCGCACATTGGCCTGATCACCCGACGATTGCCAACACTTATTTTATGGGGTGCATGATTAAACTGATAACAAATTCTCGCTCCATTGTTAACGGGTGTAGGCGAAATTCCGACTCCCTAATAGACTGCTACCAGTTAGGCGGGAACAGCGCTGACGAGATGGCGTAACTAAATAAATAAATTGGACATCTTCCTTTTGGACAAGACACCCCCATTACGGCATAATCAGGTGACTGAAATTACATTCGGATGGAACGACCACGAATAATCGGAAAATGTACAAGAATATCACAAGTTTGTTGGCAACATAATGGATCTAGGTATACATGTGTAAATGTGTATGTAGCTGTAACTAGAATATGTAAATGTGCCGCTGCCTTTGTGGCTCTGTAAAATCGGGTTGCCAATGTGAGAAAGGACCAAAACAAGTCCTGCAAGGGGATGAATGACGTTCATGGAGCGGATATGAGCATCCGAATAACCAATGAAAATGACTGGATTTGGCGGCGAGTCACGTCCGCCACGTCGCGGCGCTGTTAAACAACTATGTGTGCTTTTTTATGGACAGGACGCTTGCCAAGCGAAAACCTATCAGCCCTGGAACACAGAAGCCGAAATACCACCTAGAACGGAAGAAACCCGAACCACCCACTGCCACTAAGAGAAGGTTGTTCGGTGAGCCAGCATAAGTCCGTCTAGCCACTGCCCTGAGAATTCAATTAGTTGTGGGCACTTTGATTGAGAGGAAGTGATGTTGGGTGTCTGAGGTGTGGGTAAACGGAAGTCGTTGCAGAATTTTCCAGAAATGGACGGCACTGTTAACTTTAGTCCATCTACGCACGATCAAGAAACAACCACTCCGACCCTGATTTAGATGAATGGCATAAAACTGCGTTTGATGAAAGCACGTACGTGTCGTCCCTGACAGGCAACCTAAAGTGCTAACGTGATGAGTCATATTGGGTGACTGTTAGCAAAGATCTGCGCATCTATCATAAGCTGAAAGTCAACAGGGCGTAACATGCACGATCACCGAGATTATTGTGTAGAACAGCGGGAATCTAGACTCGCAAATTCGGTAAGTGGAAAACGGTCACATTAGGCGCTGTGCAGTGAGAGAAGCGATCCCAACTTCCTTGATCCTAAAAACGATCCAAGCATCACATACCAACGGGTTATGAGACAGACAGGCAAACCGGCCGCTTACATATGCGGCCAGTCACTTTGAAGAACTGGGGGATCCAAAGAGTCAGCAGGCCGTTCTATAGTAGCTCTTACCAAACCGACGGAAACATATTGTCACTAGTCAGTCCCAATGATATTCCAAATGTCCATTTCACAAAGACTGAGGAGACAGGGCTGCAATTCACATGTAAAAATGCAAGCATACTGGTGAAAGCTGAACAAGAGTATCCGAAATATGATATCGATGACGGGGATAAATTAACCATACGAGTTACGTGTGTGATCCCGAATGATCGATGCTCACGGATGTGAATCTAAAGGTAAATGGCTGTGCATGGAGGCGAACTACTGTAAACCGGTGAAATAACAAATCTATATAGAAGAATAAGCAACAGTGCTATTAGTAACGAATAAACAGTAAAATAATAGTACATTCGTGGACTACATGTAAATATCAAGGATTCAAAGATCCCATACGATGGTGTCTCCAAGAGTTAATAAATAGTGCAACAAACAGTGGAGTGAACGTGTAGTTAAGATCGGAGTGCTCAGAGCCTAAAAGCTCACATTAGCCATAGGTATTATCAGAAAATATGCAGCTAAACAAGCCTGTCTATAGGAAGCACACACGCAATAGTGGCAAAAACAGAGATAAAACAGACTGCCAATTACGAGAGTGTGCACTTCGCAGGAGTGAAAAGTGTCAGTGCTCATTGTGCAAAGCAGTGGTACGGTAGTGGGGGGGGGATGATGGAGGGGGCTTAAATGCCGTGTTCACCACTTTCACACACCAAATCGGTGACGGTACTGGTGTGTAAAGCGTTAAAAGGTCAAGTGGATTTGCGAGGAAGAGAACACCGAGGAGTAGGGGGAGTTAGTGGCAGAGCTGGGTTGCGGCCCGCGAGGGAAAACGTTACCTAGATAGGGAGATCCCGGGAACGGAATACCTCCGAGCAGACGTTCGCAAAGGTGAGTGTACGCGGTGTCGGGGAACAGCCATATGAGCTGGTGGGGAATAAAACACACTTTGCGGACGGCACGGAGGGGCGCGCGCGTGCGCCTCCTCCGTATAAAGGCATCGCAAGCGCGGTGGCAGTGGGGGCGGCACCGATGTCCGGTGTCTGGCGGCAGTATCAGTGTGTGTGTGTGTGTGTGGTTGAAGCGTGTGAATTCAGAGCGTTCAAACACCACAAAAAGTGGAAACAAAGCAAAAAGCAAACCGGACGGAAAAAGCAACAGGGGGAGGAAAAAGGAAAACGAATATACGAGTGCATAAGAAGTGAACGGCATACAAACTAATGCAATTAATGAACATAATGCGACTAAACGACAACAGTTGTTACTTACAAAGGACGGCTCTGTGAGATATGCACCGAGGAAGACGAAAGTGTCCCGGAGTCTAGCACACTAGCTGTTTCGTTGGATGATGGGGTGAATGAGTCGCTCTGTTTTATGCATACTGGTTGGTCGTTGGGGGCCTCGTGTTTAGCTGGTCCATTTCCAACAATCAAATGATTGCCCCTGCGAACGACGGATAGGGTGGCTTTTATCTGTGCGGTTTCCTCTAGATCCGCTCCGATTTCGCCGTCATCGGCAACCACTACAACGTCACCATCATCATCATCCTCTTCGTCAGGAACGCTTGGCTGGGACTCTAGCCCGGTGCTTTCATGCGTATACGGCGTTCTAGTATCCCAAACTTCGACTTCTTCATCGCTGCCTACGGTCTTGTCACCACCAAAAGCGACGTTTTCCACAACGGTCAGACGGCGTGGATCAGGCTCCACTGATGATTTGTCATGTGCGCTGGACCTCTCTAGATCTTTGCTACATGTCGAATCAAAAGAGGAGGTAGTTGATGCGGATGAACAACTGGACGATTGGAACTCTCTGGAGCCCGATGATCGAGAACCACTACCGGAGGATGAGGAAGCGACAGAGTTGCTGTTTGTTTTTTCCACCTGGGGTTGCATCCCGTTTCCATCAGATGAGGACGAATTGGAACGGGGCAAAGACTTCGGACTGGGATGAAGCTCGTTTCCACTGAAATCATTCGATAAGGAACACTTAGTTAAAACACCCAGATTAGTACTACTCTGCTGCCCTCCGTTCTGTTCCACGTGAGGTTGGATCGCTAAAGAGCCCTTGTCACCTGTCACCGGACGATTAAGAGCAGGAGACACGGAACCAAGGTGTGTAAGTTGTGCCGCCAGCTCGTCCAACTCCTACAACCGAGAAAACGTGGAACACATGCAAGTGAAAGGGGGTGGTCAAAGCGGAGTTTTGTGAAACAAAAATGACGACAGTCTAAAATTGTGCAAACAACGAATCGCGCAATGTATCGAATATATACACAGGGACACCTAAACAAACGGTGTGAAATCTGGGAAAAAGAAGAGGACAAGCGCGGGAATTATGACAAACAACGGTAAAAGCAAACACAATTTGACACGAGTGAAGGGTTGTTGGAAGAGAGAACTTTATTCCCTACCCATCGAATGTTTCCCAAATATAGGACATTAGGAAAAGCGTATTACCGTCTGCAAATAAATCACTCCGGGAGGGTCATCTGTCGGAAGAAGAGTCGACTGATTGACCAACATGCGCAAAGCATCCTTTTCAACCTCTGCCAGAGTGCTCCCGTGCCAGTCCCAGCCAGGAGTAAGCGGGCCGGTGCCAAGATGAGAAGTGGCCACATCGTCCAGAGTGTCGTCGTTTTCATCAAGGAATATCAATTCATCTGGCCGAGGTCTTGGTAGACGACGCTTCAGTTTCGGGCCAGGAGGAGGCTGGACGGACAACGCTGAAAGAGGGATTGGCTCAAACATATTGGTGCGGAGTGGGGAAACATGTTCCGTCAAATTAGAACCGAACCAGTCATCTCCGTCGGAGGGGCTAGATGGTAGTTGTTCTGCATCCGATGGAGAAGCTAGGGCTAATTGCTGCTGAGGGAAATGAAGTACCCCAGTGACCGATGGAATCGCGTGATCTTCCTGTGGAAGCGATATCTGACGAACAATGTTTAATCTTTGCGATTGGTTGCGCAGATTGTGCTGCAGTTGCTGCCTAAGGTGCATCAAAGAGGCTGAAGTGGGATCATCTTGAGCTAGTTTGAGCCAATGGAATAGATTTGTACGAAAATGCACTGGAGCGTATGGCGGGCTGGTGAGCAAAAACGCCGGTCGAGGTAGGATATGAGTGACAGAACAAAGTGACTGGATCGGATGGGTTTCTGACACCAGTGCAGGATAAAGGGGATTCAGCAGTTCGGCATGCAACGATGAAGTTTGACCGCTGAGGTCACCATTCAGTATACCAGCATTGCATGGGGGAACAGGAGTGGGGAGCCCGATGTCTTCAACTATCGACTACGCACCGTCGTGGGCAGGTGGAACACGACGACAGTGATGGGAAAACAACGTGGAGGACGGATAGTACAGCCGCGAACGACAAAATGGCACGCATCACAAACGACAACATAAGAGGTAGAGACGAATGAGCAATGGACAGTGGGGAGGGTATAATGAGGAGTAAATAAAGTGAGAACAGGATGATGGGACGCAGACGGGGTTGGATAGACAGGCATGTTGACGGCAAATAAATTATGACAACCGTGCCAGCGTGAATGCGCCGCCGATACATCGCCGATAGCCGAGGGGAAGCAAGGAGAGAGGAAGGAGAGAAGCAGATTGTATGTAGTCATTAGCAATGAAACATGATTGAAATACGCCGTTCAAGCAGCAAGTGACGACGCGGTGCCCTAAGTGGATGAAAGCGCAATCAACGGTTTTTAAAAAAATCAGCGCAGGCGACCATTGAACACGCAATACTCACTTGAATTCGATTAGGCCGCCGCTTAAGGACACGGAGAAATTGAGAATCAAAGCATGGTGGTGGAGGGGAACAAAAATCGTCTACTGCTGTTGAAACGGCGATAAACGAAGCACTCAAAAATTGACAAATACAAAATTCAGGATAAGATGTGGGGAACGCGGTAGTTGGGAGCAAACAGATGGTCAGGTTACCAGGTGTAAATGAGGGAGCGTAAAGATGTGAACCATAGAAACCATTTCTAGGATAGATGTTGCATACATGCTCGGCTTCGTTGTCTTCAGTGAATGGAACCCGTGCGGCTAAATGCCCAGCATCCCAACAGTTTTCAGAGGAACAGCAGCACTCTCCCTTACCATCAGTAAACACACAAGTTAAGAGGATCGTCTATAGAATGGCGAAATGGCCCGGCTGATATTTGAGTAGTGAGCCGGTACGCAGTATTGACGCTTCGCCGCCACGCAATCACCACCAGTTGCACGCGGGTTAAGGATACTGCGGGGGCTGCCCGGTCCCCTACGAGGGCTCGAACCCGCGCCCTCAGGTTATGAGACAGACTTGTGATCCGTTAGGCTACGGGCCAAAGCTACACACAAATGTGGTAAAATCGGATGCTTGAAAAGACTTTAGTGAGTCTTAATTGGCAAATATGTGTTATCGAGTGTCTAGTTGATGAAATAAAGGCGACCACAAATACGGTGACAAGCGGCTATGCTAAAAATACGCAATCAAATGAGAACACAACGGTAAGTACTGCACAAGGAAGAGATATGAATAGAGTCGTCTTTTAAAGGCGAGATATCTAAGTCGAGGATTAGCATATGCTTGATCTCGGGCACAGAATACGTACACTGTTGCCAACGCTGATTACATCGACCAAACGCAGAATACGCCCCTGACTTCGGTGATGGAACTTCATCATCTTGGAGCCAATTCGCATGGTGTTGTGAAATAAATAACGCTGGTAAAACTGGTATAGCAACGAGTTCTTGAATGAACAGATTGCAGTGTGAGTCCAATGCGAGTCTGAAGTGCATCGCTTATACTTAGCTCAAGCTCCCTAGCTACATAAAACATCGGCCTGTTGGATCAGCAGGCTTGCCGACCGGTGGCCGAGCGGTTCAGACAGCTGGCTGGTAACTCACGGGTCACCAGTTCGAACCGGCGCAAGTGCGGGAGATCACGCAGTGTCCTTAGCCCATCCCATGCAGCTGATGGTAGCCGCGTGACCGAGAAGTGTCGGTAGGAAGTAGCAGTGCACGGCTGAGACCCCTTTGAGACTGGGCTCAAATCGGTGTTCAATATCACGCTGACAGAAGAATACACGTCTAGTACAGACAGATACTCCACTCGCTGCTTATTCCAGGTGTTCTCGTCAAGAAGATGTATGACAGCTCAAAGAATGGTTTAGTTGAAACCAACCCACCACCGTGTGTGCCTGTAGCTGCCACATTTGCTCCGTCATTTGTAGAGTGGAGTGAGAAGCATGCATCGACATCGTATCGGTCGAATATCCACAATGTGTGTGTATACCTCCACACACAGCGTAAAACTCATAAACGAGACTTTTTAATGGCCATGGAGTATCTTCACGGGCCGATGTGTTGAGCCAGCTGTTAAACGACCGTGGCCACGATTTAAACGCGGTTCGTTCCCGTTCAGTGAGTGGAGTCGGTGTGCGGGCATTTGTGGGTGATGCAGCATGAAGCACTAGACTTACATCGGTTGTCCATTGTGCCAAAGATGTGGAATGACCGAAGTGAGCTTCAAGTTCAGCTCTTTCGGTAGCAACTCAAGTCGGGTTGGACCCAAAGTGAACGTTGACAAAGTGTTCACATATGCCAATGGCAACATTTTGTTTACTGGTTACGGGAGCTGTTAAGTGTCACCCAATCGTGACGGTGCCAGGATCAAAGACCAACTCAACGGAAAAAAGGAGGAAGGCCCGACCATCACATGTAGGCGCATGGAATTCTCAGTACATCTGCTTTGCTGCGACGCGTCCGAGCAACGCAAATGCAAATGGTGGTACGCAGATTGGCATAGTGTACAGGAGCAGGAACGCGAAATCGAAGCCGGGGAGAAGTTGCAAAGCAGACGCCTGAACTGCGGAACGGAGAACATCCATGTTCCTACAAAGTTCACAATAACCAAGGGGAATGAGCCATCTCCGAAACAGATGAGAATGAAGTCAGATTTACGCCGTAACGGCACTTCGCTGCCCGGCGACCACCACCAGTCGTGCGTAAGCTGAGTAGACCGCAAAGACGCCCGTCCCTACACACATTCGAACCGGTGACCTTATGATTGCAAGCCAGGCGTGCACAGCACTCGGCCATCGGCCGCATCTGCATCTTCGAGTAACCAATGGGTGAGTACGGGACACCCACGATCCTTCGGCAATTGCAGCCATACGGTAGTCGTTTGTAGCTGCGGCGACTAAGGTAACGGGTGCTACCGACCATAGATAATAAAGCGAAAATCACCTATAATTGTTAATCTATGGAGGTGGCGCCCGTGTTGATCGTAGACACATGCGCAAACGTAGGAAAGGGTGTGGACAATCACGCGAAGCACTCGTGGGGCAAGCGAACCCTAGTCGTGGGTGTGCGAGGAAAGCATAAGTTAAGTAACTGGATCTATATTGATATGAAGTGCGAAATAAGCCACAAAGCATGCCAACAATATTTAGACATACAAAGGAGTAACACCGATGATGGGCTTAGATCCACGCAATGCGCATGGTCTTATGGTCTGCAGTTGGTTGCATAAAAGCAACTGGGCGTACCGTGCGGCTGAAGGATGGTGAACAGCTTCCGTTAGTTAAGGTGGTTGCCAATGAATTGGTATTAGCATAGCCACTGAAAAGGGGCGTGACATGTGCGATGAGACGCAGAACCACGTGGAAAAACGTTGGTATGAAAAAAGCGACTTCCGGAGAAGACCCTGTCTTCAGACATAGTGGGCCTGGCGCCTTCTGGGGACCCAATCATTGACCATCGCTCACTTCAGGGACATGTTTATCGATTGTTAGTCGTACTGAATCCGTTACGGGTATTTCTACATGTTTGCAAAGAGAGTGTCAGACAAACATTTGGATTATGGGCCGAGAGAGCTGTATGAGTTCAACGTCAGGTAAGCACCTTGCGATGATCTGCGAATCATGCGCCAATAACTCGTCTGCTCTGGGAGCACCGAAATCAATCGGGATACCAACTCCGATACTGTGGATGCGCAAGCTTCTGTTTGTGAAACTATCATACGTTACAATGCCAGACGCTGTAGAACCGAAGAGCGCGGAGCATGGTGCATCTAGACGCATTATTTAGCGCGAACCAGGGTTGAACCTGTGAGTTGGCAGAAAAGCCAGTGGATCAGAAAGGTGCATGAAATG